CCCCCCCCCCTTCCTTCCCGGCTTCCTTGCTTTCTATCTTGTCACTAGGCTTTTACAAATCAAAATATTCCGACTCAATTTTTAAAAGTGCAACAAAGAGAAATTTCTGTAACTTTTAAAAGTGCAGAAAATAATGAAAATGAAACGAATAAATGAACAAAGAAATTGGGTTATCTCTGAACATACAGGGTTACTCATAAAGGATGAGACCGGAAACAACGATTTAAAGGTTAAATTAAGTCTTCTGCTTTGAATATAATCGTTTAATGGCATATTAAATGATTTGATGAAGAAAAAAGTTTACCGTTGCAGGGATTCATGAATATTAGTTAACAAACAATATAAATTATGTACAGTCGTCTCTGCAGTCTCACCCTGTATTAAATACAGTGTTCGCAAAAAAAAAGATACTCTTGCGTTTAAGGCAAATATTTAGACTTTCAGACTCAGAGGCTATCGGTGTTATTTTAATTGAATCTGAATTTAAAAAGGGGAATGTCCGATTGAAAACGGTATTCTTTAAACTGCAAACTAGACAGAAGGAGAAGACCGGATCTGTTCTTCATTTTAAAAATAAAAACATAGATACAGGGTGTTCCACGAAACATAACAGCTGGTGAATAGCTTTGAATGTCTTCTTCCATGTACTTTATTGGAAATTAAAGAATTTTTGCAGTTTATTTCGTTAAAAAATCTTTTTACTCATATATATTTTACTTTGAAATCAGTTTTAATTTAAATTTATTTAAGAAGACATTTAAAACTATTCACTTACTGTCATGTTTCCCGGGACACCCTGTACATAATTCCTATCTACAATTAGACAAAAATTTCAGGGTGCCGTTGTCATACGTACGAACAGGGTGTCCCACGAAACATGACAGTTAATGAAAAGTTTTGAATGTCTTCTTCCATATCAAGTATCATGTATTAAAGACTTTTCGCAGTTTATTTTGCTAAAAGATCTTTTACTTAACTATATTTTACTTTATTAGATATTAAAGAAATTTTGCAGTTTGTTGCGTTAAAAAAATCTTTTACTCATATATATTTTACTTTGAAATCAGTTTTATCATAAATTTATTCAAGAGGACATTTAAAACTATTCACCTACTGTCATGTTTCCCGGGACACCCTGTACATAATTCCTTTCTAAAATTATATAGACAAAAATTTCAGGGTGCCGTTGTTATAGTACGACATACATGCAACTCACAATGGATGGTTACTTGAAGCAACTTGAAGTCTCTGTAAGTTATTTTTTTCCTTGCTTTCCGAAGCATCGTTTATAATGAATGGGTTTCCGTAAAAGTTTGGCGGAAAGCCATAGTTTGATTATACGTCTGCAATATTTTTACGAGTTTGTACATTTGAAGAGATGGGAAATTACCCAAAAATCTTGTCAAATTTAATATGCTGAACCCCTGTAACTCGTGTACTCAAAAGTACAAAAATCATGAATGTATTGTTGTCTGAGGCAGAATCTGAAGATTTTCAGGTAAAAATTTTTTAAAAATTTCTAATAAAAGTCTAAATGTGACCTTAAATTTATTAACATTTACCAAAATGCAAAATAGACCTAGACTTCCAAAGTTTTTATGTTAAAAAACCTGGTTTTGATCCATTATTGTGTGCCTTAAGTTTCTGATCAGAAATTATTTGTACAGTGTACACTATACACTACACTGAGCCCGAAATTTAAATTAGTATAGTTGAACGAAACTCCCGAGTTTCCTTTTTTGGGGTCTTATTTGCGTAGATTTTGATTTAAGAGATTGGGAAAAAAATGGAGAATATAAACAAACTATAAAAATAATATTTCATTGCAAAAATATTAATATTCACAAAACTACCTAACCCCATTCGTGAAACCCGGGTTTTAAAACTGGTTTTAAGAACGATACCCTGTTTTAAGTTTTGGGCTCTGCACACTATACACTGCACACATGTGCATTGTACACTGAACAAAGTTAAGTTCGGAAAAAGAATACAATTGTGCTGGTCCAGAATAACGGACAGTCATTGGTTTTTTATTTTTCGAAACATAATCGCTATAATTTTGACTTCGTACTTTATAAAGTTTGAGAAAAGAAATTAATAATGGTGGAACAAAACTTCAGTAAGGTTACAGTGAGGAACAAAAATCCCGGAAAACCGTTCAACACGATCAAAGTTTCAACTCGGTCGATCAACACCGCTTCTCGATCGACGAAAATGGCGACTCTGCCAGCAAAAATGGCGCGAACTCCCGTCACCAAGGCCAAATTCTTTACCTCTACAATAAACAAGAAAAAAGATGAAACGAAAGAGAAAAAGAAGAATCCTGATCTTGAGGAGAAGTTGTCGGTGGCCGATTTGTCCGGTATAAGTGTGATCAAAACCTCTCCACCACCAAAAAGAAAAGTTTTTTTCGGCGATAGACACGCAGAAGCGTTGAAAATAAAGGATGAAAAAGTATTAAGGTATAAGAAAAAGAAATTTTGAATTCACATTGTTTTTATCAGATGTATACTGATGTTCATTTTAAACTGTGCATTGTACATAGTAATTTCTACAATTGACATTGCACTTTGCAAAACAGAGGGNAGTAAAAAAATGTAATTGTCAAACTGGTTTTCTTGCTCTCATAAATTAACATGTTAAGCAGTCATACTTTCCGTGGTTTTTCGTCGGGTTGTTTTTTAAATTCAATTTTATTGAAATGAATGTTATTGCTATTTTTTGTTTTGTTATAGTTATTTTCATGTCTACTATTATTGTTAACATTTGATCATAGTTTTCTTTATTGTCATTGTTATTGCTATTGATATTTAAGTTCTATTTTTATTTCATTTGTCATTATTATTGTTTTTAACATTCTTATTCCTATTGGTATTTTTGTTATTACTTTTTTGGTTGTTATTTTTATTATTGTCATTGTTATTACTATCTGTATTGCCATTGTCATTACTACTGTTGTTGTTATTTCGTCGTTAGTGTTATGGTTATAATTGTGTTTTTGTCATTGTTATTGCTATCGTAATTGTGGTTATTGTTGTTGTTAGTGTTATGGTTATAATTTGTGAAATTGACATAGTTATTGCTATTGTGATTGTCATCATTATTGTTATTTTTTGCTATTTTTTTGTTTTTGTTATTGTTATTGTTATTGTTATTGTTACTGTTACTGTTACTGTTACTGTTATTGTTATTGTTATTGTTATTGTTATTAATATTATTGTTATTGTTATTGTTATTGTTATTGTTATTGTTATTGTTATTGTTATTGTTATTTGTTTGTTTTTGTTTTTGTTGTTTTATTGCTTTTGTTATTGGTATTAATTTTTGATTTGATTAGAAGTGCTATTTTTATTGCTTTTGTCATTACTGTTGTTTTTACAATTCTTATTGCTATTGGTATTTTTATTATTACTGTTATGGTTGTTATTTTTGTTATTTTCATTGTAATACCTATTGTTATTGTTGTTATTATTGTTGTTAGTGTTATGGTTATAATTTTATTAATTGTCATTGTTTTTGCTATCTTTATTGCAATTGTCATTACTATTGTTTCACTATTCTATTGTTATTTTGTCATTATTAGTGGTATGGTTATAATTGTGTTATTGTCATTGTAAAAGCTATTTTGCTATTGTTGTTGTTGTTGGTGTTATGGTTGTAATTGTATTATTGTAATTTTAAATGCTACTTTGTTATTGTTATTGTTGTTGTTAGTGTTATGGTTGTAATTGTGTTATTGTCATTGTAAAAGCTATTTTGTAATTGTTATTGTTGTTGTTAGTATTATGATTAGTGTTATGTCATTACTTTTGTTTTTACTATTCTTATTGCTATTGGTATTTTTATTATAAGTGTTATGGTTGTAATTTTTGTTGTTGTCGTTCCTATTGCTGTTTTTATTGCTTATGTTATTGCTAACTTTATTGCCATTGTAATTACTATTATTTTACTATTCTATTGTTTGTTTGTTGTTGTTAGTGTTATGGTTAGTTTTGTGTTATTGACATTGTAATAGCTAGTTTGTTATTGCATGTTATTGCTATTTATATTATTATATTTTTGTTATTGTTATTGTTTTGTGTTATTGGTATTAATTTATGATTTGATTAGAAGTGCTGTGTCAGACCTAGAAAAGAAAGTTTGTAGATTGGAAACCTTAAACTCCGCGGCAAATATCAAAATTAATACTTTAAACACACAGCTTCAGGTAATTTTTCATATGCTTTTATTTAAACATAGATATGTTCGAAGACGCTTTTTTAAATTTAAATTTTAAATTTTTTAAATAAATATTTTGATTGGTTGAGGAGAAGGATCGGTACATCAGAGATCTGGAACTCCGACTTCCACGAGTTCTTCAAGATATATCAAAGTAATTTTAATATAAAAATATTTTACAAATATGCAGTGATTTCACAACATAGCAGAATTGCTGACAGTTGTGGAAAGACCTGAAGATCGTCTTCGATCTTTAAAATAAATTGCGGCAACTGTTTGTCAACCTAATTTTACAAGTATGATACTTGAAAATTATCACATAATAATCCCAGTCCTGCCATTTCCATGCACTGTAGAAAAGTCACACACAAAATTTTAATCTTTTACATAAAACTTTACAGTATAATTTTAAAAGCACAAATTGATTATAAAAGGCAGACTTCATTTTAAAATATGTCAGGATAAGGTTATTTAATTTATGGCAAAAAGTTATAATATATATATAGACTATATTAGATTTATTTAGATCCAAATCTAGTTTTTATTGTAATGTATGTAACCATGATAACTTACCGAATAAAAATAATATATAAAATAAATTAAAGAAATGTGTCCAGGGGTATAGGGGGTAGAGATGGGTCAGGTAGGACTAGAAGAGAGGTTCAAGAATCCATGAGAAGAAATCATAAACTTAACGCGAAGGTAAGAAATTAATTTCCGTTTATCTAAAGCATTATAACTAATCGTATTTTTAAAATCTTTCAACCGTTAAACTAGTCAAATTAGGGTCTTCAGGGTTTTTAGACTTGATCTAAAAAATAAGTATATGGTGTGGTTTTTTGATCGTATTGTAACGGATTGACGTTGAGTTGAAAATAGTTAATGAAAGGCCTATTAAAAGAAAATCAAATTTTTCAAATCTCGCCCGAATTGTGAGCATTTTTCTTTATTCACAACAAATTCATAGATTATTTGTATATTTTGTATTTTGTTGCAAATGATATCAAAAAGAAACCTATTCTAAGCTTCATTTACTTTAACTGGCGAAGAAAACACTTAAGTGACTGTTAAACTCTCAGATTTAAGTGAGATACAACGATTTTTAGCTGAAGAAATACACGAATGGAATTTCACAATTGTATCTTACTCAATAACGCAAATCTATCAGTTTCTTAAGTGTTCTGTTCTGCAGTTTGGGTAAAGGAAGCTTAAAAGAAATTATTGATATTCTTTACAGTTAAAGATATTGAAAATATGTATTTATCAAATTTTGTGTAGAGAAAAATTCCCAAGATTACGTATTGGATTCAGATGAGATTTGAAAACTTTTATTTTCTTTTTAGGTCCTATAATCTGTTTCGTACCATCATAGATTAACACCATATACTTTTTTTAGATCAAGTTCAAAGTCCCTGTTGACCATATATTTGACTAGTATGAAGTAACTTTTCCAAGCCCAGTGTACACCAATATTTAACTATTTTAATTAAAGGAATAGAGTCTTTGTCAAGCCAACTTAGGGTTGCAAACATATACAGATTAGAAAATCAATGTCGTAATCCTTTAATATTTCAAAAAATGTGATCCAACAGAATTCAAAGTTTTAAGTATTAAATAAAGGCATAATAAGAGAAGTTCACCCATCTAATCTCATTCTAAACAGCTCAACCTATCTGTCCTTGGTGAAAACTACGAATTTTATTAAAATGAGTTAATTCTCTTTAAATGAGATAATCTCTTTAAACGAGTTAATCTTTTAGAATGAGTTAATGTTTTTTGAATGCGTTATTCTTTTTGAATGAGTTAATCTTTTTGGATGAGTTAATCTCTTTGAATGAGTTATTCTTTTTGAATGAACTAATCTCTTTGAATGAGTTAATCTCTTTGATTTAGTTGATCTCTTTGAATGAGTTAAACTCTTTGAATGAGTTGATTTCTTTGAATGAGTTAAACTCTTGACTTGAATAGATGAAGGAGTTGGAGTGTGAGCTAGGGTGGAAGGAGAAGGAGAAGGAGGGTTTAAGAGCAGCATGTGATCTTCTCAGAGCAAAGTGTAAGGAGAGGGATCAACATTTCAGGTTTTCTAAATTTCAAACATTTTATCCAAAATAATTGCAAAATATGAATGATTGTTTCAAACTTATCATTATTTTCAGAGAGGTAGGTTTTAGCAGCAAGTCATCTTGAAGTAGGAATTTGGACTTTTCTACACTTAAAAGCTGAGCTTTTTTATTATTATTTAAAACTATTTGAAAATTTGCTATATGCTTTATAAAAATATCAAAAATAAGTTGGACCTGGTTCAAGACTGTTCTTGAAATATTTACAGATTAAATATTTTATGACCAGAGAGTGGCCATCTTTAATGAAGAAAGGAATCAGCTGACGGATCAGCTGATGAGCATGGAGCACATCAAAGAAGAAAATTTGCTATTAGGAAATCTTGGCAAGGCTATCAGAATGTGTTCTTTAAAAGGATTGTCGATGTCATAGTTTCGAGCGACTAGTAAAATTATTTCATATTTCAAATCAGCTTCAAGGCATAACATATCTATACAAATAAGCAATCATAATGTAGTTCTGACTCGCCTTACCAGGATAGGTTGCTAGGATATGATAACGTTACATGTCTGATTCATAACGGTACCCTTGAAACATGTATACAAGTTTACAATAAGGAAGATTACGTCGTTTCAAAAGTATCAAATGCATCTCTTTTGCTGAGACAAAGATTTAAAGGGTATGATTGCGAATCTTGGCATGCAACTCTTTAAATGAAGGAACGTCGGACAATCCCTTTATTTGAAAACAAATTTACCTTTGTTTAAAAGTTTTACCAAGACCTTGAATTCAGAATCTCAGTGCAAGAGCTTGAGCAAAATCAACAGATATCTACAAGGGAGACATTTTTATTTTTTAATTATAAAATTAAAACTTTAATCCATATTTTCTATTTTTAGAAAAGTTGAATGCAGGTCAGCAGGAAATGAATGAAAAACTTAGGTATAGAAAAATTCACCTAAAAATTTCCCGATATTTTTTTACATCACAAAAGTGATAACATTTTTTTTATCTTTAAATCAGGAAAGAATTTTCTTTTAACTGTTTCTCTTTAGAAAATAATCCAACATTTTCACAGCATTTAAAACCATATTTTTTTTCAGTCAAGTTCGGTCTGAAAACACTTTTCTTTATTCCGAAATCAGGTGACTTATATTCTCATAGAGATACTATTCTAGTTCGATCATTATAGCTAGGTTTAATTTATATTCGGAAATCAGGTGACTTATATTCTCATAGAGATACTATTCTAGTTCGATCATTATAGCTAGGTTTAATTTATATTCGGAAATCAGGTGACTTATATTCTCATAGAGATACTATTCTAGTTCGATCATTATAGCTAGGTTTAATTTATATTCGGAAATCAGGTGACTTATATTCTCATAGAGATAC